CCCCCCCACCAGCCTCCACACCTGGGTCCTCTGAGCCAGTTTGTCCCTTTACAGCCGCAGCACCCGCGCATGGTGAGTACCACACACACACACACACACACACGGTACATCACACGAGGCTGTGTGTGTGTGTGTGTGTGTGTAGCCTCTACAGAGGGTGGAGAATGAAGTGGACCTCAGGGGGGAGCAGCACCCACTAGGGGGCGTGGCCTACCCCCCCTCTCACCACCCACCAGCGCCGCCTCCTTCTCTGCCCATGCAGTATCTTCACCAGGAGCATCTCCATCAGGAGCTTCCCTTTGGAGTGGTAAGACACCCCCCCCCTCACCCCCTCACCCCCCCCCCCCCCTCACCCCCTCACCCCCCCCCCCCCCTCACCCCCCCCCCCCCCTCACCCCCCCCCCCCCCTCACCCCCCCCCCCCCCTCACCCCCCCACAGCTCAGAGGTGTGTGTGGTTCTCATGTATGTGTGTGTGTGTGTGTTTTCTGTTCTGCAGCCATTTTCTCACATGCTGCCCCGGAGAGTGATTGGTCAGAGATACAGGCTGCAGCAGCCCCTGCCCCCACCTCCGCCCCCCCCTTCTTACCCCAGCTTCCTCCCCTACTTCCTGTGAGTACCTGACACAGAGTTTCTATATATTTACATGGTAAAACTGGTCATTGCCAACATTTTAACATATGTTTTAGCGTCAAATAAATAAATAAACCAGGACTGAATCAGTGATTGATTGATTGATTGATTGATTGATTTCCTTCTGATTTTCAGGTCAATGCTTCCTCTGCCTCCCACAGCAGTGGGTCCAGCCATCAGTCTGGACCTTGACGTGGACGATGTGGAGCTGGAGAACTACGAGGTAAGAAGAACTTTTAGTCCTGGTCCAGATTCTGGGATTCAGGTCCAGTTTTTTCAGAGGTCTGATCAGTAGAGATCATGGGGGGGGGGGCTGCATGTCTAACAAACCCACTGATGACCCCCCCCCCCTCTATTCAGGCTTTACTGAATCTGGCCGAGCGTCTGGGGGAGGCCAAGCCGCGAGGACTGACGAAAGCCGACATTGAACAACTTCCTTCTTACAGATTCAACCCAGAGAATCATTTAACTGAACAGACGCTGTGAGTTCTGCCTTTTCACTTACACCTCCCCTCCAGCAGAGGGACCTGTGTCTTCATCTCAGCCCCCTTCTCTTCTCCTCCTCCCACAGTTGCGTCGTGTGCTTTAGTGACTTTGAGTGTCGGCAGCTACTTCGTGTCTTACCCTGTAACCACGAGTTCCACGCCAAGTGTGTGGACAAATGGTTGAAGGTGAGTGGACGTCGTCGTGTGGGTGTGATCGCCCGACAAGCCGATCTTCCTCATTCTGTCTTGTTTGCACTTTGACCCCAGACCAATCGCACTTGTCCGATCTGCCGAGCCGACGCGTCGGACGTGCACCGTGAAGCGGAGTGACGTCCGTCTCTGAACTGAGCGCTGAGCTGGAACGCTGCACACTCCAGAACCTGCCCCACAGCTTGGGACACCTGCCACCTTATCTGCATCCTCTAGTAGATTATCGCTTCCGGATTTCCCCCCCACCCCAGAAGAAAAGCAGGAATCCTGGGATGTTTTTGGAGCCTGTCGTTCCTCGGCTCGGCTCAGCTCCGCTCCACTGCCTGTCAGACGGCGTTCTGGGATCGCAGCACCGTCTCTGTCCGTCAGATTCCAAAGAGTTTTGTCCGTGCAGCACATCATTCCCTGCTGTGTTTACAGGGTTTCATTTTCCTTAGCGATGGACGTCCTGGTGTTTGAGGACCGCGGCACCGAGGATCGTAGCAGAAAACGAGTCGAACTGCGGCAGGAGTCGACGCACCGTTGATGGAGGTCGTGGGCAGATTGACTTGTTGACCTGTGTTCTGCAATAATATATCTATCATTTC